AACAACACATTACAAAACTTACTTTTTCAAAATAAAATTATAAATTATAAACTTTTAAAAATACCCTTACATATTAAGCATTACACTACAATATCATTTCAATTTTCTCTCCACTGAAGGGTAATATGAAAAGGTATCATTAATGAAACCTTACTTTGTTCAATTGTCTTATATTTTGGGGACAGTATACCCCCAACTTTGTCTTATAATTTGGGATGGAGGGAGTAGAATAATAGAGATAAGAAATTAAGGAAACTTTTGATGCCATATCTACTATGTGCTCTATCAGTACAAGGACAATTGTACTATGATGGGATAAAGGCAATATGTGTCAAGGTTGTTTTAGGTCATAGATCTTGTTCTTTGGAGCTAGAGCTTCAAATGAGAGAACCACCATTCACCAGATGAGATGCACCTTTTAACTTGGCTGCAAAGATGCATTTCTAGTGCAATTTATGCAAAACTACTCAACTGACGTTGCCTACTGGTCATTTGGTCATTTTCTTAATGTTTGACTTGAGCTCTGCCAGAGCCCATGGGTGCTTTTTCATCTGTCTGTTAAGGGTTTGATTTGGCTTCTAATGAGCCAAAATTGGGGAAAAGCCTCATGCTACTTTAGTTATCTGTGTTTATTGAATGAAACCTTAACTAACTCTTTCTAAAATGTGAAGCTGAAATGTGTCTTATCCTTATATGTTTAAATGCTTAATTCTATTTTTTTATAGCAGGATTTTGAAATGCATCGAGGCAAACCTCTTTACCTGAATGAAGAACGTTATGCTGCTTTGACCTACTTGGTGATTAAATTTCCCCATGCCACTGCCTCACTGCCTTCCTGAATTAACATTTAAAATAATTATTTTCTTTTTTTACTGTTTAGGTTTCTTCTCATGGCCTGGACCGAAGTTCCAAGGTTCTTGGCCAGACTACAATTGGTTCCTTCTTCTTGGTTTAACTCTGACTTTATTTGCGATCTAATTTTAAGGTCAGACTTTAAAGTAGTCATACTTTCCGCACCCACACACATCCTTTCTTGTTTGTTGACCCATGGCTTACATTGTCTATTGATGACCTTGTGGAAGCAGGAATTTTGGCTAGCAGATATCAGGAAGGTGAAAGGGGTTCTAGAATATGCTAGTATATAATGTTACTCTCACCTGTGATAGGAGAAATAATTCAAACATATCTTGTGCTGTCATATGATAGAAGCATACAGATCCTTCAGGTGAGCATGCGTGTATTTGATTTATACAGGTTCCAATGTCTTAGCTATATTGAGAACTTCTATCATGTCTTCATGGAAGATAATTTACTGCCTTTATCTTTATTAAAGAAAAAAAAAAAAGGAAGCATTGCAAAATGCAAAGGAGAATGTTTCGGAATTAATGTTGCGTAAAGCCCCTGATCATGAGATTTACAATAAGCTCTAAGCTCCCGTTTACCTAACAAATTGCTGTGAACTAGTTGTAATTTTTTTTCTAGTTATATGTAAATTTAAATTTTATAGCATGAGGTTTGTTCTTTTTGGATGTGGGAATCTCACTGGAGTTTGTAAAGCGAGTTACTTTAGGTAAGGGAAAATGGAAATTCTGGCAAATTATTGTTATCGTCATAGTGTGTTGTTTTGATAGAGCTCATAATAAACGATTCAGGGGCCTTCACTTTAGAGCTTAAGCTTTTGAGTTGAGTTAAATTGGTGACGTAAAATTCTGAAATAGGAGATATTGGCATGCTCAGTCAGCCTGTTGGATTCTTATTTATAGTGCTAACTGCTAAGAAAAGTACGCATCTTGCCAGTGCCAAAAGAACGCAAGTCCATTCCTAAAAGACCATCTACTTTTAATACTTTTATCATGGTATGTCTTAATGACACAGTGGTCAAGTATTCGGTCCTTTCTGTCCCCCACTGTCCGAACTCCTTGTCCTTCATTCCCCCGTTTGCTACGGTAAAATCTCAAAGAGCTATTGCATTAGAGTGTGTTGGGGATTATTAATTACCATAAAATTTTATAATTAAAAAATCATGGGTAAAAATTTAAGCTCGAGTTGAATTGGTCTTCAACAATGATGTCAAAATGTTTCCATGCGAGGGGCTTGTGTTATGGCTGATGACTGATACATGATATTTTGGGCATCTTTTCTGTTTTTTGAGTAGACATTATGGGCATCTTTTGAAGATAAGTTGTTGGTGTCGGCAGAATATGAATTTGTGTATTTATCCTCCAGCCAATGTTATCAAATTTAACAGTCAACCTGAAATTTCATTTGCGTTTATGCTCAATTCTAAGAGAATTTAACGCCAGTGTCTTTTCCACGTTTGTTTTTTAAGGGCTTATGGCCACATTGATTGAACTGTGTAATTAAAATACCCTTTTTAATTGCTGCTATTTATTGGTCACGGAACAGGAAAACAGTTCTATATTTTCCATTTGCTTGTAGATTACAAAGTTCGTCTTGTTGTTTGCAGATTGATACAGTTTCTGCTTAAGGCCTGAAAGCTTGGCTCCTGTGGGATACCCCATCTCCTGGTTGTGGCTTTACAGCTTTTCTTTACGCTAACTTAGCAGGAAGCGTTACTCCTGCCGGTATGAAAGCAGCTGCACGGGTGTACATAAATATCATTATACAATACTAGCGAGGAGCGACTGCATTGAAGGGCAATTTGTGGAATTGTGTGCTTATTCCATCACATCTGTGGTTTAGCTTGTTGATCGGGACAGCCATATCGTTGTGCCTCTTCCGAGATTTCTGGGTTTGGGAAAAACACTGAATGCCATTACATGTGCTCCATATATGTAAAGTCACATACAACTGATTTCCTCTGTCAATATGGTGGTTCTTTTTTTTTTTTTTTAATTAGTCAAGGACTGAGGTCTTTTAGGCTTATAGTAAAATATGGGCCCCTCTTCAATCTGAGTACTTTTTCAAATGTTCATATTTTGAGGGGAAGGATGCATGACGGGCCATTGTTGGATGCCTTTAAATTTTAAGAGAAGGCTTGTATGTAATTTTTGTGCTTGCTGGTAATTTTTTCAAATAAATTAGAACAAATTATGTGGCCTTTTTTTTGGATGAATAAATTATTTATAGCCTACATTGAAGAATGCTTGTGGCTCTAGGGCAAAGTCTTGCACGAGAACTTGCAACTAGATATCATTATCTTTATATAATAAAATGTCTAATGAGTCACACTATTTGAGTCATTTACGAATTTTTCAGGTTCTGTGCAGCTGTGAAGGTCACACTATTTGTCTTCAATTTTATGTCCAAAGTTGGGGTGATGAACATGCTTAGCCTATAATGTAAGTCATTTTTAATTTGATTCTAGCTTATTAATTCTTAATTGGAAAAATAGTGAGAAGATAATGAAGAGAATTAGAATAAGATGTATCTGGAATCTAAATACATAAATCATGCTGCTGTTGAAGAATCCCGACGAGAAGGTTTCTGACTATATTATGATGGGGGAAATATATATATATATATATATATATATATATTTTGGTTAAAAGACGATGGAGAAAATGTTTCTTTTAGAGACAATCTGCTTTGGTTATAAAAAAAAAAAGAAAATAAATAAAATAAAACGGTGCAATATGCTTCGAAAATATTGGCACGGTATTCATCTAATCAACACACACTGGCATTCTCCGTGACCTTGATGCTTCTCTAATCCATTTTTTTTTTGGACAACAAACCTTGAATTATATTTTTTTAAAAACATGTTTGTAGAACAATATGAATTTTCTAGAGGGGATGGTGGGAACTAATGTTAAGAAAATTCAACCAATCATTAAATCGATTGGGATAATAGTTCACAATTTAATGGTTGAACTGTAATATGAATCGTAATCCAATCAATTGTAAATAAATTAATATATTTTAAATAAAATGAAATGATTATACATAATAAAAATGAATTATAAATTTAAAAAAATAATGTAATAAAAAGGTAATATTATCGATGTTCCGTGATTTAATCCAAAGTTCATACACTTTTTTTATGATTTGTAATTTAAATATATATAAATATGAATATTTTTTGTGTATTTGTCCATTTTTATTTACTTATGAAGTATAGGTATGTATAAATTATAGTTTAGGAATATAAATTAAAATTTTAAAAAAATAAAAAATAAAATAATAGGACAAGATCAACCACGTTTGACCAGTTTATTGTAATCATACCAAACTTTAGGATTGCGCTGGAACAGGCTAGTCTAGTTCTCAAACTCAATTTCTAACCTCTAGTTAAAAATGGAGGGTATTTAAGATCCGTTTGCTTGCTAAACAAAAAAAAAAAATGAAATGAATTAAAATAATTAAAATAAATATAAATTAGATGATTTTTTTTATAATAAATATGATAAAATTTATTAACATATATTATAAATATAAAAATTACATCCTTTTAAAATTTTATGAATCATAATTTTCAATCATATCAATTAAATTATTTAATTTTTTTATGAATGTATTCATTATCTTTTTTAATTATTTTATTTTTATTTTTAATTTTTTTTTAATTTTTTAATTTATTTTATTTTAGTAAGCAAACCTGACCTAGAAGCTGCAAGGTGTGTGAGGAGACGAGTGAGAAAGTTAGTGTGAGAGAGTACTAGGGCTGGGTCCCTTGCGAGTCAGAGTGTTTCAGTGAAGTGTTCAGGGAAGGCAAGTTCCGAGCAACTGACTGAGGAAGAGGAGGACGCTTTGGGTGGGAGTGTCAAAAAGCTCAATGAGGATACTATCATGGGAGAGGCTTCAGGGAAGCAAGAGACAGTTTTTTAGCATCCAACTGGAACTCCAAAATACTCCCGAGTTTCGTAAGAAAGCATCTCTTCTTGGTCATCAACCACAAGAGGAGCAACAAAGCTTTGAGGACTTGGTGAAGGAATGGCTACCGGAGAAGGAACAAGCTGTCCCAAAGCTTAAACAGGGGAACAACAAACCATCATGAATAAGCTGCCGAAAGTGACGCTACCAGATGAGCATTGGATTGAGCTTTGTAGACCCTAGAAAGACACTTCGATAGTCACGCACCTGGGTAGAAGATTCAACAAGTACCAGTTGAAAGATAAACTCGATCTTTTGTGGGGCTTTAAGGAGTACGAGGTCATTGACATGGCAAATAACTATTTTGCGGTTCGCTTCTCCCAACCCCATCAGTACAAGAAAGCTTTAACAGAAGGCCCTTGGGTCATCCAAGGACATTATCTTGCTATTTAAATATGTAGTCCGAATTTCAATCATTTCATCAATACTTTGAAGAAACTGGCTATATGGGTTAGGGTTCCTTTGCTTCCTTTACACCGTTATAATGAGGAAATATTAAGGGAACTGGGGAACTTGATCATCAAGGTCCTCAAGATTGACTTGAATACTTTGTCATAAGTAAATGAAGGTAAGTTCACAGTCGAGGGGGAGATTCTCTCGTATCAGTGTTGAGATTGACTTGACTAAACGTCTTAGTTCTAAATTTGCGTTTAGAAGACAAGTTTTTAATGTTGTTTATGAAGGTTTGAGCATTACTTGCTTTAGCTTACGAGCATAATAAGGAGAATAGCCCTTTTTCTGGGCCTATTCTAAATGAAACGACATCTTTTCAGAACTCTTAAGGAGGAAATAGTCAAGATAATCTGACGGCTGATCTAGCTAGCTCCCCGGAAACAGAAGCCCAGGTTTGTAATACTTTTGAGCAGCAAGTGAACATCCCTCTGAAGGGAGAACTTGGGGCCTGGATGCTCTCGCCTTGGGCGTCGAAACTAAGATTTCAGGAGAGAGAGAATAGTCAAATGGGGAAACAAACCCTGAGAAGCTGAAGTACAACCAAAGAGCAAAATAGTCACCAATCATCTCGATTCGTCGTGTTATCATAATTTATGGAGTCCGAGATGGCGGGTAATGCAACAAATGGCACAAAAAGTAACCAACATCAAGAGGGGCGCAAGATAGGTGTCAGAAAGGAGGCCAGCAAAGGAAAATCAGTTGATACGGGCAGCACTAGTCCTTTGGTGAGAGAAAAAGAGGAATTTATTCTCCAAGCATTAATGCAAGTTTGGGGATAAAAGAGTAATCCATGGGAAGCCTCAACAAGCAAGACCCAAAAAAGAAGGGCTCTGAACAAGTTGAAAAGAGGGGCCTAAAACTAGTGGACTTAAAAGAAATCAAAATCAGAGGCCCAAGATTTTGCCTCTGGTTCTAAAGGGGAGAACTATCTTCAGGCTCCATAATGTAGTCTCGAGTTCGTGGGCATAAGAGGTCCCTTGAATTTTGGCTAGTCAAACCAGTCTTCACAAGTTTTATAAGATCTCCCTTACTAATTCACATTTAATACTAAAAACTAAGGTAATTTTGAGAATTAATTTATATAATATTACCAAGTTTGTGATATTATATAAATAGGATTTCAAGTTTTTTCAAACTTTCAAAGTACCTTAATACACTTTTATGAATAAAAAATCATAGTAGAAAGTGTTTACAGAAGCATGGGTTCAAGAAGGAGCAAAGCATTTGCATTAAATTTAAAAATAGCAAAATAGTGCAAGAAAATAGAGGCGCACTGCAGCATGTTATACGTGTATTGCGGCATGTTTCTTTTTGTGCCATACACCGCAGCACATTGCACAGTTATGATAGCATTGATACTGTCAAATTGTAGTATTTTGGAGCTAACTTTTAGACTCGCCCTATTTCTCTGTCCGACATTCGATTAAGGTTATTTATGTGTCTGTTGAAAGCTTTCTCCTGGTTTTAGCTAATGGCACTAATTTTATCTTTAAATTATTTCTCAATCAAAAGTTAGACATCCATTTTCAAACTTACTCCTTTTTCAACCAAAACACAACCTGGGCGCCCAATTTACAATTCAAGTGTCAAAAGCCTAAACTTGATCCCAGATCCACTAAGGACACTTGTGCAACACATCATAACATTCACATAGCACATCAATCACATTTTCAATACTCGACCCTTTAATAACAAAAATAGAAGGGAGAGCCTCAATTGCATCAATTATTTAATAATTTGTCATCATTTACAAATCTTACACTAGTATTTTGGCCCTTTTTAGATCTCACAAATAGGGCCCAAAATACATAATTCAATAATCATATAGTGCAAGTAAGTGAAATATAAAATCTCCTAGTTGGTAATATCATAAATAGTTATACTCATAATTTTCAAAATAAATAAGGCATATCAATTTAGGATGATATCCTAAGCCTCAGATTGTTTCCTTCAAGCTTGCCTTGATGAGTTAGACCCTATAATATTGAAGAGAGAGAGATGAGTATAACTACTTAATAATCATAGTACATCTAAACTATACTAATGCATGTCAATTAAATATAATGCAAGTGGCTTCTCATTATCATAAACGTGTCAACTTAACGTTTTCATAACATATATATTTGCGTTTCACAACATTAATCACACGATTTGTATAATAATATCTCAATAGCACCCTCTTACACTTATACAAGGTTATTCACATGTATTCACATAATTTCATCACAAGAGTCACAATATAGACAATTATATGCCCTTAATTACAATATACATGATCACACCTCTCTTATATTTTTCTTATGGCTCTGATATGAAATCGTGAGCTAGTACTTAATGTGGCTGGTCTATGTGATGAGACTACCTAGCTTTTCACTCGTGATAAGCAACCTGACAAGGTTACTTAACTCACTTGTGGATCACGATTTTTCCTAAATCTCACAGTATGAGGTTTTGTTCTCCCTAATCTAGCTTTCTTGTCAAACAAGTCAAAACTAGAATAGGTTCAAGTCCCTTAATACATAATGGAGAAGTCCCTTGTTGAACATGTAAGATAATAAATATATCTAGGAAAATCATCAAGCTCCTAATATAACATCCTTAAATTTTAAACCTGATTAATTAAGCTTAATTAGAGTAATTAAGTTTATTAGTGAGGTGTGTAGCTACAAGGGTCTAATAGGTATGTTTGGTTATAATTTCAATCTTAAATGTAGGTCTAAAGGAAGTTGGGTCCCCTAGGAATGAAAAAAGGAAGGAAATTTGAAGAGTAAAGCTCTACGCCATGCGTCATGGCTTGTGGATGAGTCACCATAGTGCATATGGGTTGATGCACTTGGGGAAAGACTTCTTTGTGCCATGCACTGTGACTCATTATGCATTTGCCGGGCATATAGTTACTTTTCTGTTGAAATACAATCGTGAAACTAAAGCAGAACAGAAGAAAATCAAGAGGGAAAATGAAAAAAAATGTGAGAAGCTCTATTAGGGCTCGAGGAATTCAAACTTTAGGAGCATATTGGAGCTAGAAAACATTAAGGTAAGGTTTCTAGGCTTAAATCTTCGTACCTTCTTCCATTTTCTTGATGTTAGAAGTTAAGGTTTAGTTTAGAATGATGATTTTCAATGCATATAGGTTATGAGTCTGAACCTATTAACTTAAATAGAGTTAATAGAAGTAGATTAAGTTAATGAAACCTAAAAATTATGGTTTTATGATCATTGGTGGTTCGGGAGCATTTAATATCCGAAATTCCATTATAAATATGATAGTTAGGACAATATGGCTCCATTTATTGCTATATAAGAGTCCAATGAGATTAATGTGAGTTAAAGAAAGTTAAGAAACCTTATGGGTTTTTTTATATGAGTACAGAATGAATCTTGGGAGTGAAGAAATATTTGAATTATAGTGGAAATCAGCTTAAAAATGGATATTGATGAATTATATGTAAATGTTTATAGAGTAATCATTTTGAACACCATTCAAGCTTTTTAGAAGCTTTGAAAGTAAGTATTTGAGGGGTGAAACCTTTGACCTCTTAAAGATTTAATGTAACTGGGGGAATTCTACTTTGTGCTTTTATGTGTTAATTAGTTTATTGATTTGTATTTGAAAATGTAAATGTGTGAAACTAAATGAATTGCAAGTATGGCATAGAATACTTGAGAAATCCACTATGTAGATTTTTCAAAAGTTCAATGACGTGTTATATGTGAAATTCCTTAAAAGATGGTTAGTGGATATCTTGTGATATGATTTCATGAGGTTCAATGATTATATGATAAAAGGAGTTCAATGACATAGTTGTTATGGAGTTTAATGATGTAGTTGTTAATGAAGTTCAATGATTATGCAATATGCAGAGTCTAATGACTATGCATAAATAGAGTTCTATGATTATGTATTTGGAAAGTTCAATGATTGTGTTTGATGTGGAGTTCTATGAATGACTATGAATACTCATAATGAGAGTACAATGAAATGATTAGGCATGTCAAGTAGTGAAAACTTGCATGCTATGAGTTTATGCATATCTATGCAATACATGATCATGAGAAGCAGGAATTCGCCTAAGAAGAGGAGTAGGGATTTAAATTCACATGGTAGGCTTCCATCAGAGCTCGAGATTTGCCTGGGTTATTATATATTTCATCCCATTGATTCAATGAGGGACCATTTCATTGGTTCAATAAGGGACTCGAACCTAGTTAGTTTTTTACTTGTTTAATGAGGAAACTAGTTTAGGGATAATAAGGTAACCCTTAATAATCCACAATTTATCCCTAATATTAAGGTAATCACGAGAATAATCCAAATGAATTATCAAGTTTGTAAAATTTTTCATAAATGATATCTCAAGTTTTCAACTTACAATGTTATAAATTCATTTTTTAAAAAAATAAAATTAGAGAAAAACATGTATACGAAAGTATGGACATCACACAAGGTATGATAACATCAAATTGGGATCAAAAGAGAAAAAATAAATATTCTAGCAAAATATGATGCAACATAACATTTTATGTTGTAGCATAAATTGCAGAACCCATGACAGTGGGTAGATTTCCTGACTGAATTTTTGACGTGCACCAAATCTCCATTCGACATCCGATTAAGGTCATCTTAGTGTTCACAGAAAGCTCATTTAGTGAACTAGTCAATGGCACTAGTCTTATTTACAAATTATATCATATCAAAAAGTTAAACACTTAGAACCAAAACTACTACTTTCTCACAATTCTCACCTTCTAAAGTATCCAAAACTCAATCTAAGTGCCATTAGCCCATACAACCACCTAGATCATACTCAAAAGATTTAAGATGACCTATGTAATATACTACAATACACATATATACCATAGATTATATTTTCACTTCTCAACCCCAAATTTATCAAAAGCAAAGAGGGAGGTTATCATCATTCAAAATATCTAATTACACAATCACAACTCTCAAAATGGACTTAAACATACTTACACAACATTTTGGCTTTGAAAAAGCATGTTTTACTCATACAAATTGACCAAGGGTATCAAAACACCAATTAACAATCATATATAAATGTAATGGTGTACATAGTTATCA